CCGCCGCCGCCGTCACCGCCGCCGCCCTCGCCGCCGCCGCCCAGCCCGCCGCCACCGAGCCCGCCGCCACCATCTCCGCCGCCGCCGTCACCACCGCCGCCCTCGCCGCCGCCGCCCTCACCGCCGCCCCCCTCTCCGCCACCGCCGTCACCGCCACCGCCGAGCCCGCCGCCTCCGTCACCGCCCCCACCGAGCCCACCGCCACCGTCACCACCGTTGCCGTCGCCGCCGCCTCCATCGCCGCCGCTGCCGTCACCACCGCCGCCCTCGCCGCCGCCGCCCTCACCGCCGCCTCCGTCGCCGCCGCTGCCGTCACCGCCGCCGCCAAGCCCGCCGCCGCAGAGCCCGCCGCCACCATCTCCGCCGCCGCCGTCACCACCGCCGCCCTCGCCGCCGCCTCCCTCACCGCCGCCGTCGCCGCCGCCGCCCAGCCCGCCGCCGCCCAGCCCGCCGCCGCCCAGCCCGCCGCCGCCGTCACCGCCGCCGCCCTCGCCGCCGCCGCCCAGCCCGCCACCGAGCCCGCCGCCACCATCTCCGCCGCCGCCGTCACCACCGCCGCCCTCGCCGCCGCCGCCCTCACCGCCGCCCCCCTCTCCGCCACCGCCGTCACCGCCACCGCCGAGCCCGCCGCCTCCGTCACCGCCCCCACCGAGCCCACCGCCACCGTCACCACCGCCGCCGTCACCGCCGCCTCCATCGCCGCCGCTGCCGTCACCGCCGCCGCCAAGCCCGCCGCCGCCGAGCCCGCCGCCACCATCTCCGCCGCCGCCGTCACCGCCGCCGCCCTCGCCGCCGCCTCCCTCACCGCCGCCGTCGCCGCCGCCGCCGTCCGCGTCGCCGTCGCCGCCGCCGCCCTCCTTTTGTGACCCGCAGCTTGAGGACCTCCTACTCTACACCACCGACGCCAATTCTCGCGCGTATGCCAACGCTCTTGCCGCTGTGCGCTCCACGTTTGCGCCCGGCGGCGCCACCGCCTTCTCAGTCGGAAGCTTCGGCGAGCTCGGCCGCGCCTCCAGCCTGCAGACGCGGGTGCTCGGTGGCGACGTAACCGCCTGGTACTCGTCCTCCGCCACCTACTCGCCGACGTTGCCCGCCGCCACTGTGCGCGCCATCCTCGGCACCACATCGCTTGCCTACCCGCAGACGCTGCGCGCCATGTACCAAGTCCACGATGCGGAGGGTAACACAGTGCAGGGCGGCGCCTCCACGCCCCAGCTGACGTACCAGCTCGACGGCGACGCCACCGTGCGAACGGTGCAGTGCTACGCCGTGGGAGCGCTCTCAGGCGTCGGCGAGTGCTACGGCTCGCTCGTCCCCGCCGCCTTCGACAGCGCCGCCAGCGTGTCGCTTTCGCTGGAGTGGACCTCCGCCGCGACGGGCGATCAGATCGCTCTGGCGAGCTTCGGCACGGTCGCGACGCAGCGACGGCCGACGTGGTCGGCGGGCGGGTGGGATCTGGGCGACGCGGACGCGCTCGTCTACGTGGACGCCGGCAAGGCCGTAGCCTTTGGCGTCGAGCTTCCTTACGAGGACGTCTTCATCCCCCCAAGTGCGAGCGACGGCCGCGGCGCCTTCGACGTGTCGATCCATATGAAGACGCACATGGACGGCGCGACCGAGGCGGCGCGGCAAGTCGACGTGGGCAAGTTCAAGCTAGTCTTCCCGGCTGACGCGTGCGACGGCGTCACTGACGCCGCAATCACGTATAAGAACCCAGCCTTCGCAACGTGGGAAGAGGTCACAGGGCTGGGCGCTGGTGCGTACGGCCAGACCTTCTTCAGCGGCAAGGTGAGCGGCGCCGCGGTGCCCATGCTTTCCCTTACGATGCGCTGCGCCGCGGGCACGCACGCGATCGGCGTCGAGACCATGGAGCACGCCGACTCCGACGGAGTCTCCGGTGCTCCGAACATCGAGTACGCGAGCTCCGTCGGCCGCGGCGACACGTACGTGGCGCGCGCCGAGGTGCTGGTCAAGGCGACGACGCAGCACGTCGGCGTCTTCGCTTACGCCTCCGACGGACGGGCGTACGTCAACGACTTTACGAGCCTGGGGCAGCCGGCACCCAGCCTGACCGTGCAGCTCGACTCGATCTCCGACAGCCCCGACGAGAGTGTCCACAGGAACGTCGGCTGCGCTGCCGCCGACGCCTTAGCAACGCCGCCGCTCGACAGCTGCGCGTACACGCCGCCCTCGCCCGCGGCAGCGGGCGTCGCCGTCGACACGCGCACCGTCGGCAGCAGCGGCGGCGCCGCGACCGATGCGATTGCAATCGAATTTCGCTCGCCGCGCACCGTGACGCTCACGGTTGCGGACGCCACCCTGTCGGCCATCGGCTGCGCGGGCGGAGGCAGCTACCAGTCCACGACGCTGCGGTTGGCCGCCGACGGCGATCTGGACGTGACGCGGCTCAGCTCGTACACAAGCAACGACACGAGCGTCGCGGTGTTGCGGGACGACGGCTACACCGTGCGTGTGCTTGGCGTCGGCCCAGGTTCCGCCACCATCTCGGCCTACGGCAACGTCGCGAGTGTGACGGTGACTGTCGAGGACGCCGTCGTGACGCCTGAGCTGGTGGCCCGCGTCGTCACTTCGCTCGACGCGGCGGGCGCGGCGCAGAGCTTCACGAGCGAGGCCGACGTGGGCTACCTGTATGTTTACGCGCGCTACGCCAACGGCGACGCTCACATGCTCGACGACGCTGAGCTGTCGGTCGAGGTGCTGGCGCCCGACACACTCGCCTACAGCCTCACCAGCGGCGGCCGGCACGAGCTCTCGATCGTGCCGGACGCGCTCGCCGCCTCGTGCTACGACGACCTGCTGTCGGTGCAGCTCGTCGCGTGCAACGGCAGCCTCCCCGCCGTGGCGCCACCCCTCGAGCTCGACCTGCCCTCGCCCGTCGCGCTGCGAGCACTGGGGCTCTCGGCGGAGGTGCTTGCGCCGTCGGGCTCGTTTGCAAGAAGCGGCGCGCTGTCCTCGCGGCCGTCGACCTCGGGCACCATCTCGTCGGCGTTCGTGCAGATGAGCGAGGGCAGCGACAAGGACATGAGCGGTGACGCTCGCGTGACGCTCACCTCGTCCGAACCGGATTGCGTGGCGACGGCTGCCGACCTCACGGCATCGACGCACTTCTGGGCGGTCGAGGGCGGCGGCTGCACATCGGTCAGTCTCACCGCCACCTTCACCCTTGGCGCGTGGCAAGAGAACGCCACCGCCACCGTGTACATTGCGCGGCCCAAAGCGACAGCGCTGACCGTCTCGGCGGCCGTTTGGCCCTCGTGCTCGATCTCCGACGCGAACACCCTCTACACGCTCGGCTGCGCTTCGCCCGTGGTGCGGCAACGCGTGCAGTTCTCGGCGGCGTACGAGCTGGAGGCGGACCTCGCCAGCTACGCGCTGAGCGGTACCGTCACACTAAGCCACTCCGACGTGACGCTCGACCCTTCCAACCTCGCGGCCGTTTCGGGCGTCACCATCTACCAGGGCGCGAGCAGCGGCGCCGCCTCGCTCGGCGTGACGCTGGTGGGCGAGGCCGCGCAGCGAAGCCTCACCATCTCGGACGATGCGCTCTCGCTGAGTGCCATCTCGCCGAGCGTCGCCACCACGCTGATCACAACGCGCCAGATTGCGGTGAGCACAACCTTCTCGGGGCAGGCAGGCATCAGCTGCACCTACTCCGACTCCGACGTGCGCAGCAACCTCGGCTTCGCCGCCGTATCCGACGTGGCGACATTTTCGGTCGCCTCAGAGTATGCCGCCTTGCTGAGCGTGGACGCCGACGGCACGCTCACGGCGCTTGACACGCACTGGGCCAAGGCACCGGTGGCGGTGACCAACGCGTGCGATGGGGGCGAGGTTGACGAGGTGTCGCTGTACGTCAACCCGACGGCTTCGCCGGGCCAGCTCGACCTCGGCGAGGCGAGCAAAGCGCCACTTCAGCCGGGCAGCAGCAGCCTCGAGGTCAAGCTCTGGTGGGACCTGTCGGAGACCTACTCGGGCGCGTGCAGCAGCCAGCCGATCGAGACGATCGCGGCCTTCTTCCTCTACAATTCGGCGCAGCTGGACGCCACCTTGGTCACCAGCACGTGGGCACCGCAAAGCAGCGACACCTTCCAGGGTACGTTGCAGACCGTTGCTCAGCCGAACGACGCGCCCCGTGAGGCGACGGGCTACGACGCATGGGCAAAGGTGGTGTACGCCGACATCGTCAAGGGGTCCTTCGACGGCACGGACTGGTCGCTGATCAACCCCGCGAACGTGACACTCGACCTGCTTGAGGGCACCACCAGCGGCACCGTCGGCCTCACGCTCGAAGTCAACTGCGGCGGCGCGGCGCAGGCGATCCCGAGCGACGGCTCGATCTTCGAGCTGCCCTTCACCACCAGCTGGGCTTCTATCGTTGCGCCGCCAGCCCGCCGCCGCCGCGCACAGGCGCGCGCACAACAACCGAGGCGGCTGAACAGCGACGTGCACGGCGACCTCAACGGCGATGGGCTCACGGATACGGGTGACCTGACGGCGATGGTCAACTACTTCAAGGCGCCGGACACGATCAGCCTCGGTAGCCTCAGCGCCAACCAGCGGCTGTGGCTCGACGCCAACCGCGACGGCTCGTACGCAAACGCTGGCGACGTGCTCTACGCGGCGCGCGCCTACGCCGGCTCGACCGCCTTTCCGGTCTTTGGCGCGCTGTCCTGCCCTCTGGGCGTGTCCGACCAGCTGGTGGTGACGGCCACCTCCTACTCGGCGAGCCAAGCGGCGCTCGGTGCGGTGGCGGTGTCGGTGGAGGTGGCATACTCGCACCCGTTCGCACTGAGGTGGCAGCTGAGCAGCGGCGCTGCGCTCTCGGCCGTGTCGCCACCGCCCGACAGCGCGACGCACTACTTTGCGCTGACGGAAGACGGCAACGGCGGGCGCGAGCTGCGCGCGGTGCCGCAGGACGGCTGGGCCGAAGGGGCGACGATATCGCTCGCCTACGTGGTGGGCGACTACACCAACGCCGAGAAGCGCGCGATCTTTGTGCAGTCATCGCTGGTGGGGCAGAACCGCGTCGCACTGCAGAGCTGCAACCTCTCCTTTGAGTCGCCTCCGCCCTCGCCGCCCCCTCGCCCACTGCCAGTCTCGCCTCCAACATCACCACCGCCCTCTGCGCCGCTGGTCGACAAAGGTGACCCCCTTCCTCCGGGTCTGCCGCTGCCGACGCCGAAGCCACCCTCGATTCCACCGTTGCCGCCGCCGCCTCCCTCCGCCTCGCCCTCGCCGCCGCCTCCCTCCGCCTCACCATCTCCGCCGCCGCCGTCCGCCTCGCCCCCGCCGCCGCCTCCCTCGCCGCCGCCTCCATCGCCGCCGCCGCCGTCACCGCCGCCGCCCTCGCCGCCGCCGCCCAGCCCGCCGCCACCGAGCCCGCCGCCACCATCTCCGCCGCCGCCGTCACCACCGCCGCCCTCGCCGCCGCCGCCCTCACCGCCGCCCCCCTCTCCGCCACCACCGTCACCGCCACCGCCGAGCCCGCCG